AGCCCTCGCTTCTGGAGGTAGGTCAGGCCAGGCCTCTTTAGATAATCCAGAAACTGCTTCTTCTCCTCCTGGGACAGCATGATGTGGCAGCAGGTTTTACAGATCATCTTTTAAAAGTTAAACGAAACAGATAAAAGAACGAGAGAAGATGAAAAAGTCTTTTCTTTGTAAAATGCCACCTCCACCCCTTGCCCAGAACACTTAACCACACGCACAGATCTACAGGAAGACACGCATAGAAGTAGCCATGTTCTGGTTTTGTTAACTTTTTTTTCTTCATGCTGTTCTGTATTGCTTAAATTATTTTTTACAATGCATCCTTACTACTCATTCAATGAAAATCAAGGAAAAAGAATCTTTGAGCAATTTAATTGATTATAAGATAAAATATTATGCGCTTAGTATAATATTTCCTAAGCTCACTTGAACATCCATGCATCAATTAACTCTCAAGTTAATACCTTGGAAATAAACAGATACATGCTTACCTGTAAGATGCCTATAACTGCTCGGAAGTACCCCACATGAAAACAAGGCAATTCCAAATCAATGTAACCATAGTGGCCCAGACAGTCAGCCAAGTTCTTCCCACAGGTTTCACAAGGACGGTCCTTCTCACTCGTACCCTGTGGATAAAAGCACACCCAATGGTCAACGGAGACCACTGGACAGGGACTCAGAGTCAGGATCACCTGGGAAGCTGCCGGGTATTCACATCCCACTGACCAAAGAGGACTGTGGTCCTTGAGATGTACAGGGGTAATGAGGGAGACGGAAGGAAGCTCTTGCTGCTTCTTATCTGGTAAGTCACCAGTTTCATCAGCAAGTCAAAATACACGGAAGCAGGAAGGGCAGGGGTCTTACCATCCTGTGGTCAAGCACCCCGTACAGCAATGGGGCATGGTTGTTGTCCTGGCTGTACAGGTTCTTACTCACAACCTGTATGTGCGCCTGCTGGCGCATCTCCTCAGCTGACTTCATCCCAAAACAGATGTGGCTTCTGTTCCAAAACAGATTGGAAAGAGATAGGGGAACAGTTGCATCAAAAACCACTTACCAAAAATGGCAATTACACATGTGACGCACTATAAACAACCTTATCCTTCCGACTCCCTACAGGCTCTGCTCCCCCATTATTACACTTTCCTTCATCCTACTGAATCCTTTCCATTTTCACCATCTAACGAATGGAGCTCACCCGGTCGAGGCTACCTGCCTGCTGCTAAATCCAACAAGAATTTCTCATTTTACTTCTCTGTAGCATTGGCAGTAACCCTCTATCCCTTACCTTGAAGCAGTTTCTTCTCATGGCTTTGGTAACACCGTATATGCTTTGAGTTTTTTTTCCTCCCTCTCTGGCTGTTCCTTAAGCCTCTTTTGTGATTTCTTCTAATGCCATTCCTTAAATATTGGCTTCTCTCCCCACCTAGGGTTACAACCTTCATCCTCTTCTCTT